GATGAGCATAAAATACAAGGCTGGACTAATAATGAACTTCCTCTTTATTTGAATTCAGCATTAGTAGCTAATTTACAATTCAACATTTTGGAACTAAGTCCACACAGCAGAATTTAGAATGCATTATCAAACCACAACACGTAGGTCAGATATTACATCCACCTTCACTTCATTGATAGCAAACTGACACAGACTCTAACCAGAATTAGTGGCCAGTGAGTGCTAGAGTCCCCATGCATTGCTCTATTTATTTATTTATTTATTTTTTGAGGCAGAGTCTCACTATGTTACCCTCATAGAGTGCTGTGGCATTATAGCTCACAGCAATCTCAAAGTTGGGCTTAGCAATTCTCTTGCCTCAGTCTCCCAAGTAGCCAGGACTACAGGCACCCGCCACAATGCTGGGCTATTTTTTTGTTGCAGTTGTCATTGTTGTTTAACTGGCCTGGGCTGGGTTTGAACCTGCCAACCTTGGTGTATGTGGCCGGTGCCATAATCACTGTACTACAGGCACTGAGCCCCCTATGCATTGCTCTAAATCAGTGCTTCTAACACCAATCCACTCTCTGGCTCAGAGTAGACAGTGATAGTATAAAATATGAACTGAAATCTCTATTTTAATTCAGTAATGATTAATATAAGAACCAGTAAAATGAACATTAATATTCACAATTTTAAGCAAGAGTGTGTTATTCTAATCATGGCTTAGACTTCTACATACCTTTACCTTTCTGCTCTTCATTTTTGGGTGGATTACTTTCTCTTAAGTCCTCTTCCATTCTTTCTTGTGCTAATCGTTTTGCTTCTTTTTTTTGGATCTTTCTCTTCAATTTTTTGTCTTCCTTCAGTCTTAGCTTCTCTAGGCTGATAAATATTTATGATTAGTAATAATTCACCATAGTTATAAACACAATGAACTATTTACCTTCGTCTATTTAAAAAAACAAGCAATAGATGAAAATTTTTCCTTTTTAATTAGAACCTGGCCTGTAACTGCTAGTCAATATAAAAAACTGTCAGTTCAATCTAAGTAAGGGTGCTTGTTTCATATAAATGAGAACTTCAATGATTAAGTGATTTCTAAAGATGCAATATATAAATCTGTAGGTATTATTTCCACATATATGTTACTACACAAGTTATAAAGGAAGAGTACAAATTATTCTGCAAGATAATACATATAAACCCTCATTTCTAAGAAAGAGCCCCTGGTAAAATAAAATATTATTTTCACATCTCAATGAAGACCCACAATGTGGGAGTTTGGTTCATCTGATTATAATGAATTCTCTTAACAAATAATTGTATTCATCTTTTCTTTTGCTTTTTCTTGGTTATAAATGATGAAAAAGAATCACTTCTTAGAAAGAAAAACAAAAAGTAGGGTAGGACCAAAAAGAAAAGAAAAAAGAATTTGAATTATTTGATTTGAAAAAAAAAGATACAGAGAAGTGAATAATTTAGACAGTACATTGACTATTTCAGGGTAACAAATAGTCACTGGTTCAAAATATTTAATGAAGAGGGATTAAAAGAAAAAGTGCTTTTGGAATTAAAGTTTAAAGAACTGAGAGGTAAATACATAATTTTAATCTAAATGCCAAATCTATTAATCAAACATGACATTTCACAGCATCAACTGTTATAATTTTACTTATAAAATCAACCCATTAGATAAATGATTCTGAATCAAGTTTTTAGTATTTAACCACTCTAGCCTAGTTCTCTTTAAGCTTTAAATATCCATAAAAATAATTTTTAAAGCACATATTTGGATATATCTATGCCTAAACAATTTAAAAAAGAGCATAATTTAGAAATTTGCATTTAAAAGAATTTATATTCTAAGAGACATCATTAAATTACTGATTGTTAAAAATCTTACCTAGAACATTTCTGTTTCAGAATAGGTCTTGAAGGAACCTTTTCTTTTATGACCTTGTGTTCAAACTTTAAATAAAACAAAGACATCCAAAATTTGTCTCATACTCCAATGACATAAAGCACAAAGCCACAAGTAACAAGTATTTCAGAAGCACATATAGTCAATGTTCAATCTTACAGAGAACAGTGATGATGTTCTAACCCAGACAAAAGGCCAGAAAGCTTTAGCAAAATAATTTACTGGAAAGAGGAACAAGAGAGTAGACATACTTTAGGCAAAACTTAAAAATAAAAAAAGAGTAAGCAGAAGATCCAATAAACTACAAATATTATTACGACTACCACTATCACTCCCATGTACGGAAGTTAAAGGTAATCCCTCAAGACACTTTTCCCTCTCCATAAATACATGCCCCCCACTGATTCCCAAAAGTTTACTAGGGGGATCAAAGTTACCAAAAGCAGTAAAAACAGCAGAACTAAAATGCAAAAGCTTCCTTTTCCTATTAAGAAACCTTCATTGCACTGAATATCCAAATATTTCCTATAATTTCTTAAATGAAGTACCTGTTTCTTTCCTGGAAAAGACACAATGGAAATCACACAACTTCCAAAAATTTAAATAATGTTTTAAAAGGAGGTAAACATTGTGGTTATCAATTTGATAAGGTTTCCTCTTCATTAGATACTTACCTCACATTTAACTTGACCACCACTGCTGAAGATGATAATCTTAGAAATGATACCTTCACAGTCAGGGGTAAGGCAAATACCTTGTAAAAAATCCTATTACATTTACAAAAAAAAAAAAAAAAAAGAAGAAGAATGTTATGTTTGGAAGGGGATGAATCTACACATGATACTATTTCAGCCACTGGCAATAGTCAAACTAGGAGAAGCACGGAAAGTCTCTGGTTGTTGCCACGTGATTTTCAAAGCAGGTGTACATCTGACCACGTGACTTTTCTTTTACTATGCAAGGTGACCTAATATGATGTATACACCATGTCTAAGCAAAAGCTTTAAGAAACACTGTGTGGACTGGCCATTGCTCTTTCCCTGTGACACAGGAACATGTTCTAGAAAGGCCACTCTTCAACTTGGATTCAAAAACAAAGAACACAGCCACCTATGACAGAACAGAGCTGCTAGAGCCCAGCCCTGACCAACAACTGCAGAACCACAGGACAAGTAACGTAAGCAAGGCTCAGCGCCTGTAGCTCAGTGGTTAAGATGCTGTCCACGTACACCAGGGCTGGTGGGTTCAAACCCAGCCTGGGCCTGCCAAACAACTTTTTTATTTTTTCCAAAAAAAAAAAAAAAAGATAATATAAGCAAGAAATAAACCTCTTCTATTATAAGCCATAAGCTATTGTGGGTTGTATATATTACTTCAGCATATCCTCATTAGAGCTAACTAATTTACAGAGGGTACTTCTTAGATGGAAATGGTAAAGACCACTAAGGCACAGTGTGTCATCAGAGAAACTCACTTTTGGTGAGAAAAAGACAAAGATATCACAGAAGTAACTCAATGGAAACAGTTACTTGGCTACATCATAATATGTTTACTTAAATATGTGAAAATGTACAAAATGTGAGAATTTATTTCCACCAAACTTTTTTTTTCTTTTTTAGAGACATCGAGTCTTACTCTGTCGCCCTTGGTAGAGTGCTATAGCGCCATAAGTCCCAGCAACCTCAAACTCTTGGGCTCAAGTGATCCTCCTGCCTCAGTCTCCCAAGTAGCTGGGACTACAGGTGCCAGCCACAAAGCCACAAGCCACAAGTTTTTCTACGCTGAGTAGAAACAGGGCTCTTGCTCTTGCTCAGGCTGGTCTCTAACTCCTGAATTTAAGCCATCCACCCATGTTGGCTTCCCAGAGTGCTGGGATTATAGGAGTGAGTCACCAGGCCAGGACTGTTTACCATAGTCACATAAAATAAAAATAAAATCTGATTTTCTGGCTC